CAGTTTGCTCTTCTTTTTGAAAAGTAAAAGAAAAGTTCTTTCATTGTTATACAATCTCTACCCCCAGTAAGAGTATTTTTTTATATGGAAAGCCAGGACATGTCCAAATTCACAACCCTTCTTTACCTTCCTGAGACTTTAAAACTAACATTGGCTTCTGTTTCTGTAAACTCCAGCTGAGGGTGATGCTTTAGAAACACCAACGAGAGAGTAGCATGAATGCTTCTTTGTCTGTTTCCTATAAAAAACCCAAAACAAAGAAGTTCTGAGTGTGCACTCATTTTGAATGTTGGCCCTACTGTTGCTCCACTGGCTGAATAAAGGCCCTTCCTCCTCACAGCTCTTGATTGTGCTTATGAGAAACCTATACTTTCATCAGGAGGCCATCATTAGAACAGAGCAAGGAAACACTGCATTATTCAAAATCAGGAAAGATGTTCACCAGAGATGCATCCTATCTCCATACCTTTTCAATCTATATGTGGAACAGATTATCTGGGAGGGTGGACTTTATGAGGAGGAATGTGACAACAGGATTGGAGAAAGAGTCATCATTAATCTGCATCATGCAGGTGACACAACCTTGCAAAACTGAGGCGGACCTGAGGCATTTGCTGCAGAAGGGTTATACTCTTCAATAAGGATTGAAGCTCAATGTCAAGAAAACAAAGATTCTCACCACTTGGCCAATTGGCAGCATTATGATAGACAGTAAAGAGACTGAGATTGTTAACAAATTCAGCTTGCTTGGCTCAACAATCAACACTCTCGGTACCAGCAGCCAGGAAATAAAAAAATGAATTACATTGGTCTGCTGTCAAGGACCTCTTCAGAGTACTAAAGAGCAATGATGCCAGTCTAGAGTCTAAGGTGCATCATCCAGGCCATGGTCTTCACAATTACGTACTATACATTAGAAAGCTGGACAATGTCTAAGGATGATAAAAGAAGAATTGATGCCTTTGAGTTGTGGTGCTGGAGAAAAGTACTGAATATATGAACCAGGGACTGCTAGAAGAACAAACAGTTTTGTCCTGGGGAGGGTGAAACCAGGCTGCTTCTTGATGGCAAGGATTTTTAAGTTCTGCCTGACATACTTTGAGCATGTTTCAAGGAGGGACCAGTCCTTGAAGAGGGACATCATGCTTGGAAGGGTGGAGGGACAGCACAAGAGAGGAAGACCCTGGATGAGACAGATTAATTCAGTGACTGGGGTAATTGGGGCATGTGTGTCAGAAACAATGAAGTTGACTCAAGATACAGCAGGGTTCAGATCTATTGTACATAGGGTTGCCATGAGTTGCAAGCAACACGATGGCATGTAATAACAATAACAATCTCACAACACAGGTTTTTTTGGTGACTCTTTCTCTCCCTCAGGTCTGCTCTTTCTGTCAATGAAATGTAGATGTTACTTCCAACTAACAGAGTTGCCTTGTATTTGTTGCTTAACCTTCCTAATCTTCATCTGCCTTTGTAATCTTACTTTTTTACCTTTTCAGTCTTCATGTGCCATTGTTGGTAGATGCTGTCAAGTAGGACTCATAGTGATCCTATGAAAAACGGAATACTTTTCTATCTTGTGCCATCCTCACAATCCTTAACACCCTCAAGCCCATTGCCACAGTCACTATGTCAACCCTCCTGGCTGAGAGGCTGCCTCTCTTTAATCAACCCTCCACCTTCCCAAGCATGATGCCCTTCTCCAAGGAATAATCTCTCCTAGCAACCTGCTCAAAGCGTGAGATGAAGCTTCATCATCTTTGTCTCCAAGAACACTCTGGCTGTACCATCTCCAAGACATATCTGTTTGTTCATTTGGCCGGCTTTGGGATGCTGAGTGCTCTTCTCCAACACCATGACTCGAAGGCATTAATTTTTCTATCATCCTTATTCATTGTCCAGCTCTCAGATGCATAGCAAGTGACTGTGTGTTTCATGTGTAACATACGCAAAGCACTTGGGACCCTACAAGAACTCACTACATTTTATCGATAATCAGACTAGGCAATTCTCAAGTTGGTCGTCTGAAAAACATTAGATAACCCATTAATGGTAACAGTCAACGCTTCCTGGGTTGGTGTCTCAGCAGTGGCTCCTCAGCACAAGATAAAGAAGCCCTGACACCTGAGCAGATTATGTCAACAGAGACTGGACAGCAAACCCTACCTTCCTCTGAACTTTTCCTTGACACCCTCACAATTTCCACGGTGAGGTAAATTATACTCAGGATGTCTAGATTTAGTGGAAAATGTCACAATGAATGAGGAAGGGCCAGATCCATCACTTTCCACCATTGTATGTTCTAGTTTAACATTGTAGTACTACAAGGGCCCAGAAATTTACTGGTAAGGACTGATCCAAGGTTTTGAGGAGCAGTGATACACATTTAAGGACTAAGATGTGCCTGACTCACGCCATGGCCTTAACTTACATACGCATCTGAAAGTTGGACAATGAATAAGGTTGACAGAAGAATCATCAATGGCTTTGGCGTTGTGCTGTTGGAGAATATGAAATAGCTCATCGCTTATCAAAAAAGCAAAAAGTAAGTCTTGGAGAACATGCAGTAAGAGTGCTCCTTAGAGGCTAAAATGGTGAAACTTTGTCTCACATACTTGTGGTATGTTGTCCCAGTCCTTAAGGGAAAAAAAGCAGGCTTGGAAATGTAGAAGGTCAGCGAAAAGAGAGGAAGACCCTCAACAAGATGGACCGATACCTTGACTATATGAATGAGCTCGGGCACATGAAAGATAATGTGGATGGAGCAGGTTTCAGATCCCTTGTTCATAGTCTTAGTCCCTTGTTCAAGAGTCTGAGTAAATTCACTGGTACCAGCAACAATCATTACGCTCAGAGTACACTCCTTACCACTAACGCCAGGGGGCGCTCGTCTCGCCAATCTCGCGGCAGGCGTGCTCGTTTGCGCACGCGTTATTTGCCTTTTTTTTTAGTCTCTCCCGTTCATCCCCACTGTGGACAGATACGTTCGTGCGGCGTCTTTCACGCATTTCTGACGTACAAAGACGGCTGGGAACAGAGCGGAAGTTGTGCGCGACATGTACGTGAATAGCAGTAAGGAGAGGGAAGGAAAAGTGAGCTCGAGGGTGCAACTGCTCTTGTCAATCTCCTGGTGCCGGCGAAACAGGAAGGAGAGGTCACTAACCGGACGGGGCGTGGCTACTACAGGCAGAGGGCGCTGCGATTGGTCCTCGCATGTGGCGACGTCGTCGATTGCTCTTTGCGTGCGCTCTGAGCGCGGAGTTTGGTGAGGATGGGTGGCAGCCGTTTGAATTCAAAAGTGAAGGGTGTGGCGCGGTGATATACGCACAATACCATCTTGAGAGTGTTCGGCTCTGGGAGCGAGCGTATCGGGACTCCGGGGTTCCGCCGCCCTGTTCCCTTCCTTTGCCCTCCCTTTGCGTGTGTGGGACAGAGCTGGACATGGAACTACAGGTAAGTGAAGGCTGTCGAGGTTCTCCTGCCCCGGCCCAAGATCGTGCGCTTTTCTGATCGCGTGGAGACAGTAGCTCCATGGTGCGTGGAATGGAGAGAATGGAAGTGGTAGGGAGCAGCACCTGATAGTTGGAGATGTCTCATTTATTTCATCATCTCTGTGAGTCGGAAGCAACTTGATTCATAGAGGATCTTCTCGCAACTTTTGAGGCTAAATCGCGCGGGAGAAGATTGCTCATCATTCTTCTGCAGAGGGATGGTGCATTTCAGCTGCCTGATGGGTTAGAATCACTTTAGAGGCGCCGCCTTTGTCTAGAATTTCGCTTTTCATCCCCCCCCCCCAATTATTAGCAGTTTGAGTGTTCTGAGCAAATAGTGTGAGGCCAGGTCCCTGCTGTTACTCTTTTGCGTTCCGGTTTGGGATCCCTGCTGCTACTTTAGGATGTAAAGGAGAAAGAGAAAATTGGATAGTCTGGCCTGAGAGGCAGAGGGAATTTTTTTCTACTACTCTTCTGCACTGCACAAGTGCCTCTTCAGTAAACTGTATACTAAAGTTGCCAGAAAAGTGCTTCTGCCTGAATCCTTCCTAACTAATATCTCACAGATTTACCCAAAGTAAAATTTCAATCTGAAAAAGTTATTTGTACCCTAGCAACCAAAGATCAGTGCATGAGCTATGACATTAAAAATCATAGAAGCCTCCTCAGAGTTATTCAATCAAGTACAGAATACTTACTATGCCAGCATGGTTTAACAGGAAAAGACCCTGCCATCATGGTATGAACATTCTTTAGATAGATAAGCAATAAACAGCATAAATAAATTATGTAAATCTCTCCAAAATACTCAGATGTCACTTTGAGGAGTAAGGTGCACCTGATTCAGGCCATGGTCTTTTCAATTACTTGCTATGCATCTTAGAGCTGGACAATAAATAAGAATAAAAGTATTGACGCCATTGAGTTGTGGTGTTGGAGAAGAGTACTAACTATCCCATGAACTGCCAAAAGAATGATCAGATATTTCTAGGAAAGGGTGCAGCTGGAGTGCTCCTTGGAGGCAAGGATGAAAAAGCTTCATATCTCTTTGGTTATTTGCTGGGAAAGGCTATTCCTTGTGAAAGGAGATCATACTTGGAAGAATGGAGGATCAGTAAAAAGAGGAAAACCCCATGGAGATGGACTGACATGGTGATTTCAGCAATGGGCTCAAGGGTATCAGAGATGGAGACCATGGCACAGGATAGGATGGGATTCAGGTGTGTTGTTCATAGGGTCGCTGTGAGTTGTACTCTATTCGTCAGCACCTAACAACAACAACAGCTCTTGGTGGGGGTGATAAGTGTTATGGAGGAAAGAAAAATGTTCAACAGTTTAAAAAACCAGAAGAATGGGGGCCATCTGACTAGATGGATTTATTAAATAGGATGATATAGTAAGATCTATGGAAGAAGTGAGAGTTGAGTAAAGACTTGAAGGAGGTGAGTGAAGAAGCTAGGCAGGTAGATAGATATTGAGGATAGAGGAAAGACTTGAAGGAGGTGAGTGAAGAAGCTAGGCAGGTAGATAGATATTGAGGATAGAGGAAATGTACTAGAATTCTAAAGTATAAGGCCACTGGAACTAGAATGAATAAAGGGAAAGGTTGTGGGAAGAAGTCAGGTACTAGGGAATGGGGTTACTGATCATGTGGATTCTTTTTGGGACCGCCAGAAAGACTTTATGTGAGATGAATTAGATAGTTTTTGTGAGGCGAGACATAACCTGTTATGCATTTTGAGATTAAAGAACTGTTGGGAATGTGGTGTTTACCAGACTCGTACTGTTGGTATTTTGTTATGGGAAGCTGTTTTGTACATTGTTTATAAGTACCTTTGATTTCTACTCATTAGATGACTGCAGAATGCTCCCCACTAGTGATGAGAAGAAAAATGCCTTCAGATATTAAATGTCTCCTTGGGAGAATATGTAAAATTGCCCCTGTATCCTGTTGCTAACTTGAATTATAATCTGTTAACTTCCCTAATAAGCTCCACCGTTGTTGTGTGCTGTTGAGTCAGAACCAGCTCATAGCTGACCCTCCAGTGTGTTTTTAGTGGCAGTTATCACATGGGAGGGTTGCCCATCCTTCTGTGGAGCAGCTGGTGGATTTTAACCCTGTGTCTTTGGGATTGCTGCATAGCTTCTCACCACTGGACCACCAGAGCTCCCTAATAAGCTCCATAATCGTGAGTGTTTCTATGAGATCTGTGTAGCTATTGCACTGAATTTTGCACCCAGTAGAACAGTGGGACTGTTACTGGAATTAGTAGAAATAGGTGAGTGAACATGGGTAGCGAGGGAATTGGTTTTGTTGTAGATGCTGTTGATGGGGGTAGTTCTCCTTTAGAGAGTTAGCAGAAGTCAGAGGAGGCTGTCCTTATACCACTCTTGATCTTTATACAACAGGAGAGACACAGAAAACAAAGTATACAAAAACTTGCACTATATCTTGTCTAGGTGTCTGAGGCCAATGATTGAATCCTGGTCTAAATGGCTCAGTCTTGTCAAAGTTTCAGAGATAGCTTTCAGAGATATGTCATTACTGAAGGAGTAAATTCTGTGCTATAGATAGATTGCAGGGTAGATAGGCAAACATCAAAAAAAGGGTTTCACCTTGATAAGAAAGCTTCTCAGTTTACTCTGCTGAATTAAGAGAAAAACTTTTTTGTGAATTTTTAAAAAAATTTTATTATTTGTGTGTATGTGTGTACCGCCAAATTGGATCTGACAGGTAGAGGAGGTGATTGCCCCTCCTTCTGCAGCAGAGCATCTGGTGGATTTGAACCATGTGCCTCTGGGATTGCAATGCAGCTTCTTGCCACTAGGCCACCATAGCTCCCTAAGAGTATCTTTTTTTTTAATTTATTTGATTTTATTTGAGAAAAACTTTTAAAAATACAGAAAAGAATGTTAGTTTGAAGTTGTTGTTAGGTGCTGTCATGTGCATTATGACTCAGTGATTCTGTGAATGAGAGATATGAAATCTGCCCTATTATGCTCAAATCTTAGGATCTCTGACCTACTTGAGCCGACTGTCACAAGATATTGTCAGTTCATCTCATTGAGGGCATTCTTCTCTTTCACTGATCATTTACCTTTCACAGCATGATAGCTTTTTCCAAAGACTTGCCCCCTCTTGACAATACTGAAAGTTTGTGAGGTGAAGTTTTACAGTCTTCTGAGGATCATTCTGGTTGTACTTCCTCTAAGACAGAGTTGTTTGTTCTTTCTGGCAGTCCATGAGATAGTATTTTTCTCCAATACAACAATTCAAAGACATTGATTCTTCTTCAGTCTTCATTGTCCAAACTTCAGTTTCATAGGAGGTAACTGAGAATACTATGGATTGAATCAGTTGTACTTTAGTTTTCAAGCTGACATCCTTGTTCTTTAGCACTTTAAAGAGATCCCTGACAGCAGTTTCCTCAGTGCAACAAATCTTTCTCTTCATTGTGGATCCAAGTAAAATGAAATTGTTGGCATCTTTAGTCTTTTCGCCATCTATTATGATGTTGCTTAATTGTTGGCCCACTGGTGAGGATTTTTGTTTTCTTGATGCTAATATTCACTGTCCAACTTTAAGATCATAGGAAGCAGTTAGAAATACCATAATTTGAACCAGCCTCACCTTAAACTGATATCCTTGTTTTTTAGTCATTTGGAGAGGTCCTTGACAGCAGGTTTTTTCCACAGTGAACACACACATTTTTGATTTCTTGACTGCTGTTACCATGAGTTTTTTTAAGATAGCAAGAAATAATAGCATATATTGTGTACTGAGAGGAATGACCAGTAGAGAGAGAAAAGTCACTAGTGTAGAGAAGGCTAGACTTTATGAGTAGGTGATGGGAAGGTGAGATTTGATAAACAAATAACTGCCTTGGGACAAAGGTCATCTTGTAGTAGATTTAGGAATGGCTGGATTAATTTTTTTTAAAGAAAATAAAAGGTTAATCAAAATAACTATGAGATATCATCTCACCCCATTCAGAATAGCAAAATTTAACAGAACAGCAAGCAACAAATGCTGGTGAGGTTGTGGAGAAACTGGAACTCTTATTCACTGTTGGAAGTGTAAAATGGTGCAACCACTGTAGGGCACTTTCTCAAAAAGTTGCAAATAGAGATACCATTTGACCCAGCAATTCCACTACTGGGATTGCATCCCAAAGAGACCATAACTGACATCCAAGCAGATATATATATGCACACCCATGTTTATTGCGGCTTTGTTCACAATAGCAAGGAGTTGGAAACAACCCAGGTGCCCATCAACAAACGAATGGCTAGAGAAGCTGTGGTATATCCACACAATGGAATACTAAGCTGCATTGAAAAACAAGGAACTCATGCAATATTATTCAAAATGGGTAACCCTGGAGGACATTATGCTGAGTGAAATATCTCAGTTGCAAAAGGACAAATACTGCATGGTGCCAGTGCTATAAAATGGGACTGATATCAGGGTTGGGGTAAGACTGAGAAAAACTGGATAAATTGCGTATACTGCACTGAAACAGATGAGGGAAAGAATAATTTAAAAGCAATGTATGATAAGAGTATTATGGTTATCACAAGAATCCACAATTAAGGTTGCATAGTGGAGTGTACTTGGGGCGGTGGAAGGGGTGCGGAGGGATTGTATATCAAAGAAAGAATTTTACTTTTCAAAGAGAGGTGCAAACTGGGGTTGGGGGGTGCAGGGGAGAGGGCTGGGCAGGGAGAAAAGTGCAACAATGAATGAATGGAAATCCGAAATCTCTGTAAATGTTCATTAAAATTATTAAAATAAGAAAAAATAAAAGGTTAAAGGTTTATGTTTCTTACTGTGTGTAAAATTGGAGGTCACTGTATTTAGTTTTAAAGCAGGTCTAGTGTCCTAGTCTGTCTATACAGAGCTGCACCACTCTCCCAAAGGCTGTACTTCTCTGGGGTTCAATTCACCATTGGCTCTGAGGGATGGGCAGTGCCTCCTCATGTCAGCCCAGTGGAGGGGTCAGCTATGAGTTGATTTTGATTCTGACTTGATGGCAATGTAGGGTTTTTGTTTTGAGTGTCTTAAGTCTATGAAGAAAAAAAATACATACTGCACTCTCTGAAATTATCTTGAATAAAATGCTGATCACACTTGCTGAATGCCACTTAAATTCAGAGGTGGAGAAAAGTCTGTAGTATATTTAGTTTCTGACCTTTTAGTACTCACAGAAAACTTTGCTTTTCATGCTACATTTGATTAAACAAAGTATTTTTAGCCCTTTTTTAACTTTTAATTTGCATGGAAGCCAATGATTTAGATGTATCACAACATATTTAAGTATTCCTTTTAAAATGGGAAAACATTTCTTCTAAACTACATTGAGCCCTCATATACAGCAGACAATTCAATCTATATAGTGATCAAATAATTCATGAAGCCTGACTATGAAGAAGAATGTGATATCAGAACTGGAGGAAGATTCATCAACAACTTGCTTTATGCAGATGACATAACTTTGCTTGCTCAAAGTAAACAGGATATGAAATGCTTGCTGCAGAAGATCAAGGAATACATTTCAACATCAAGAAAACAAAGATCCTCACTTCCTTGACTTCTGAAGGTTGGACAGTGAATGACAGAAGAATCAATGCCTTTGAATTGTGGTATTGGAGAAGAGTACTGAATATCTCATGGACTGAAAAGAAACAAACATCTGTCTTGGAGAAAAATGCAAGCAGGGTGTTCCTTCAGAAGCAAAGATGGTGAAATTTTATTTCATGTATTGTGGGCATGTTGTTAGGGGGTGCCAGCCATGGGGAAAAGCTGTCATACTGGGAGAAGTGGAGAGTCAGAAAGAGAGGAAGACCCTCAGTTAGATGGATTGACAGTGACTATGACTGTGGGCTCAAGCATATCAGAGTTTGTGAAGTTGGTACCGGCAGGATAGGGCAAGATTCAAATCTGTTATTTATAGGGTTGCTATGAGTCAGGGGCAACCACAACAATAAAAGTTCACCATACTTACTCAGTCTGTGTGACGAGCAAATAATCTGAAAAGCTGGACTTTATAAAGGAGAACATGGATTTATGACTGGAGGAAAATTCACTAACAGCCTAAAATATGCAGATAAAACAACTTTGCTGATAATGAAGACTTGAAAGCCTTATTGATGATGAAAAACTACAGCCTTAAGTATGGCTTACTCCTCAACATAAAATTCTCAGAACTGAACTAGTAGGCAATATCATAATAAATGGAGAAAAGACTAACTTTGTCAAGGATTTAATTTTGTGTGTATCCACGATCAGCACCCATGGAAGTTGCAGTCAGGAGATCAAATGATGTATTGCATTTGAGAAATAAGCTGCAAAAGACCCATTTAAAGTGCTAAAGAGCAAGGATGCAATTTTGAGGATTAAGGTGTGCCTGACCCAAACTGGTTTTTTCATTCAAACTCCTTGTACACACTGGAAAGCTAGACAGTAAATGAGGAGGAATGAAAAACTGATACATATGAATAATGATGCTGGTGAATAATACTGAATGGACAGCCAGAATAATAAACTTTTTTTAGAATCTGGAATGGAGACACTTCATCTCATATACTTTGGATATGTTATTAAGAGGGATTAGTCATGCTTGGTAAAGTAGAAAGTTAGTGAAAAAGAGGAAGACCTTCAATGAAATAGATTAACACAGATAGGATTAAACAGATCATCCACTGCGTGGATGACACAGGACTGGTTGTTGTTTCATCTCTTGTGCATAGTGTTGCTGTGAGTTGGAACTGACTTAACAGAACCAAACAACATTATTTTTTATAATAGGCCCTTTTATATATATTTTTACATGCTTCTCTCCATAGCATGAAGGCATAAAGTCTAAATCCTCTAGCAAGGCATCAGAACCCTAAAAGGCAACATGTCCAACAATTAAAAATAGAGTCTCTGGAACAAGAATGTCTAGATTTTAACCTTGGCTCTGCCTTTTACTAGCTCATGACTTGTGTTATACAGATGGCACAACCTGGCTTGCTGAAATAGAGGAGGTTTGCTGCAGAAGGTCAAGGACTGTAGTCTTCAGTATGGATTGAAGCTCAACATCAAGTAGTTTGTCTTCCAGTAGGCCTACTGGCGGCATCACAGGAGATGGAGAAGAGATTGAGGTTGTTAATTTTAGTTTGCTCTGCAGCACAATCAGCACTCTTGGCATCAGCAGTCAGAAAATCAAAAGATGAATTGCATTGGGGAAGTCTGGTGTCAGAGGCCTCTCCAAAGTGCTGAAGAGAAATTATGCCAGTCTAGAGGCTAAAGTGCATCTGATCCAGGCCATGGTCTTCACAGTTACTTGCTATGCATCAGATAGCTGGACAATGACTAAGGACTATAAAAGAAGAACTGAGGTCTTTGAGTTGTGGTGCTGGAGAAAAATATTGAACATAGGATGGACCACCAAGAGAACAAACAGGTCCATCTTGGAGAGGATGAAACCAAGTTTCTGCTTGGAGGCAAGGATTTTGAGGCTCCATCTCATATACTTTGGGTACATGGCCAGAAGAGACCAGTCCTTGAAGAAGGACATGATTCTTGGAGGGGTGGAGGGACAGCACAGGAGGAAGACTTTGGATGAGATGGATTGACATAGTAACTGGGGTAATGGGGATGGATGTGTTCGAGACAGTGAGACTGGCTCAGAATAGGACAGACCTACTGTACACAGGGTCGCCATGAGTCCCAGACAACTCAGCAGCACATAACAACAACATTCTCTTACCGGGGCTAATAACAGCACCTCTTTGGTGGGCTAAGACACTCTGGTGGCATGGTGCTTTACATGTTTCACTCCTAACCCAAAGGTCAGCAGCTCAAATCCCCTAGCTGCTTCATGAGAGATTGATGGCCTTGCTATTATGGATCAAAACTGAAAGACAGTGGTGGGTTGGCTGCTATGCAAATTAAGAATTTTGATAGCAGCTGTATTAATTCCTAGAGTATCTGTAACAGTATACACAAACTGGGTGGCTTAAAACAATAGAAATTTACTGTCACTTTTTCAGGCTGTCAGTCCATACTTAGAGTGTCTCCAAGGCCGTGGTCTAGTGGGTAAGGAGTTGTGCTGTCAACCCAAAGGCAGGCAGTTTAAATCCATCTACTTCTCTGCAGTGGAACGATGAGCAGTCCAGTCACTTGCTGTGCGATTTACAGCCTCTGAAAACCTGCTGGAGGATCAACTATATGTCTGTTCCAACTTGAGGGCAATGAGTTGATTTTCAGGGCTATGCTTTCTTTGAAGGCTCCAGGGATAAGTCCTTCCTTCCTTCCTTCTTCCCAGCCCTGAGATTCCTGGTAGTCTTTGACTGGTGGCAACAGAAGTAACTCCACTATCTTCTTTTCTCCACAGGGCTGTCCTTTGTTTTTTTCCCTCTGTTTATAAGGGCACCAGTCATACTAGATTAGTACTTTTTTACCCTTTTCTATTATGATCTTTTGTTTACTGATAATATCTTCAAAGGCCCCATTTTAAAGTGCAATTAAATTTACAGGTGTTACAGATTAGGAGTTTAGCATATCTTTTTCAGGATATAATTCAACCTAAGCTATTACACTGGTAAGCATTTAAAACAGGGCTCAGTATATGTTAGCAGTTCCGCACAACCAGTCTTCAGCCTAACTGAAACTCTCTTGAGAGTCTCAATTGTAGCTAAAAGAATCTTATAGGTTTAGTCACCATACAATATACTACATGTTTGAGTTTTTACCTTATACAAGGAGTCCTCATTCCTTTAAATTTAAGTACTGCCCTTAAAGCCTAACATTTATTCAAGTTTTCCCTTGTAGATTACTGCCACATTTGTTATGCTTGACTTCTTATGTTATTTGGTTGGCATATGAAATTTGTTGGTGATGTTTACGATTGAGGTTTAGGCCATAATGGGGAGTTCTTGGGACATCTGTGCTTCAGAAAATTGAATTAAAGGCTTCTCTTTTCTCAGCAGAGGCGTCCCCTGTTGGAAGTGAAAGAAAACAAGGCTTCTCACCTGCCTCTCTCAGCAAGCAGGCTCAAGAGGAAGCTTGACCAGGTAGAGAATGACTTAATGGAGCCTGAGAAGGTGAGTTCGTTTTGAGGACTGCACACGTATTTGTGTGTTTGTGTGTATAAACCAACAAGGAAGGTAGAGTGATTGGGATCCCATTCTTGTCTTCCCCTAGAAACGGATACGAAACCTGGATACGAAACCAGTGACCAGAATTACCACATCTCGCACCAGAGCACCACGTCACTCTACGGTGCCACAGACACAAGGCCAGACTGCAGGTGGGTGCTAAGGTTGGACAGATACCAATGACCCAGATATCTAGTGCTTCCCAACTTCATTCATTTTTTTCAGTTTAGTTATTTTGAATAGGTAACACATTTAGCATAATTGAAAAGGCACAAAGTTTATTACATAGTGAAAAGTCTTATTACACATATTTAAGCAAATAAGGACAAACTCCTTCACCTTTGTGGTGGTGTGTTTTGTTTTTAGGAGGTTTTTTTAGCACAACTGGTAACATAATTTACATAGGGTTGTGCTCTTCTGCTTTTTTGTTCATCTTGATCCAACTACTGGTACACAAATAGGACATTAGAAATTGGCCAGACTTCAGGAAGGAGGATGATCCTCAGAAATGGCAGTACTTCTGTTCCAAGCGTGGCCAGTACATATGCTACCCTGAGAATGACTGTTTTATTTTTTCCCCCTCTCTTGTCTACTAACAGCTCAGAAAGTTCCCAAGAAAACAGCACCTCAGTACTCTACTTCCATTGCCACAGGTAATAAGTGAGTCTTAACAGCTAGGGCTAAAAGGGGATTTGGGGAATATGTCAGGGTGAATGATGGAATTAAAAGGACACTGGTCTTATGATTCCTTATGTCAACTCCCTAATTCCCTAGGGTCAAAGGGCAAGAAGCCAGTCTCTGCTGTTTCTACCCAGAAGCCTGATAGTAAGTGATAAACGTAACTATTGGGTAAGAGGCTGGGCCCCTAAGATAGGGAAAAGTTGATGGTGAGTACTTTGAAAAAGCCTTTTGGTCATTTTCTTATTTGGACAGAAGGAGACAGATGTAGAATTAGGGAGCTCTATATGCTACAAAGACTTTGTCCTTTTTCACTGACCTTTGTTTTTTTCCACACCCATCTTAGCATCAGCTGTTTCTCCCACAGCGGGAGGGAAGAAATTCAGCAAACGTCCTGCCTGGGACTTAAAGGGTCGTTTAGGTGACCTTACTGTAGAGCTTAAACGCTACCGTGAGAGAACTCAAACATTGGACCAGGAGAACCAGCAACTGCGGGCCCAGCTCAAAGAAGCTAACCAACAGGTCCAGGCCCTGGGGGAAAAACGGAAGACACTGGAAGAGGAGTTAACCAAGGTACAAGCCCAAGCAGAGCAAGGCCAACAAGAGTTGGAGAACCTGAGTACCCGTGTCATGGAGCTGGAAGAACGGCTAGGCACACAGGAGGGCTTGGTTCAGGAGCTCCAGAAAGAACAGTTGGAATTGCAGGAGGAGCGGAGGGGACTAACTCTGCGGCTGGAAGAGCAGGAGGTAAGAGCTGGCTAGATTCTCACCAAATACCAGCCCTCTTTTTCTGAAAGAGCAGGTGTACCATACATCTTTCTCCCTATCCTCTTTCTGCTCCCCCACCTCCAGCCCCGGTCCCCCGAAGCCTCTTTGGTCTCAGAATCTCTGACCAGATTATCTCCAGCAGTACACCTGTGTCTTCTGGACATGTTATTCCTAGTTCCACATCCCGCTTTCTTTCTTTAGGTCCATATCTTGATTAAAAGTCCCATGATACTTTTCCCTTCACTATGACCATTTGCCTCTTTCTAGAATGTTTTTTCTCAGTTCTGTCTTTCTCTTGATTTGTTCCTTTACTTTTGGTTCTCCATTTAGATATCTGTTTGTGCCCCTCCTCGATATTGTTCTGGCAGTCCCTATCCTATAGTGTGTTCGTGTTTTTTATCCTCTTTCTTCACCAGATGGAGTTCCTTGGAGATAGGGACTCTACTTTTACCCCACTTTGACCCCATGACTTGCACTTATTCTTGGTTTTAATCTTACCCTTTCCATCTGTTCTGCTTTGAGCAGAGAAGGTTGCAGGCATCGGAAATGGCTCTGTCAAGCAGCCAGGCAGAGGTGACATCTCTGCGCCAGGAAACTGCAGCCCAGGCGGCTTTACTGGCTGAGCGAGGAGAACGTCTTCATGGGCTAGAGATGGAGCGCCGGCGACTTCACAATCAGCTACAAGAACTCAAGGGCAATATCCGTGTATTTTGCCGGGTTCGCCCGGTACTTCCAGGAGAACCCAGCCCGTCCCCTGGCCTCCTCCTCTTTCCTGCTGGTCCTGGTGGGCCTTCAGATCCTCCAACACGCCTCAGCCTCTCCCGGTCTGATGAACGGCGTGGAACACTGAATGGGGCACCAGCCCCCTGTACCCGCCACGAGTTTTCCTTTGACCGGGTATTCCCACCAGAAAGTGGACAAGAAGAAGTATTTGAAGAAATTGCCATGCTTGTCCAGTCAGCCCTGGATGGCTACCCAGTATGCATCTTTGCTTATGGCCAGACAGGCAGTGGCAAGACCTTCACCATGGAGGGTGGGCATGGGGGAGACCCTCAGGAAGAAGGGCTGATCCCCCGGGCTCTACGACACCTCTTCTCTATGACCCAGGAGCTACGTGAACAAGGCTGGACATACAGCTTTGTGGCAAGCTATGTAGAGATTTACAATGAAACTGTCCGAGACCTGCTGGCCATTGGTACCCGGAAAGGCCAGGCGGGTGAGTGCAAGATTCGCCGGGCTGGGCCAGGGAGTGAAGCACTTACCGTCAGCAATGCTCGATACGTCCCTGTCTCCTGTGAGAAAGAGGTAGGACTCCATTGACACTGGGACTGGGAAAAGATGAAGGAGTCAGAAAGGTAACACAGAGGAGGTAGGTGAATAACAGGAGAAAGGATGAGGCCATGAGAAAAGGTGGCCGTATCATTTTGGCTGGTGGGTTTTTTATTTACTTCAGTAAAACCTGAGAGGAGTGCAGAACTGCTGAAACAGGAAGGGCTTTGGCCTCCTGCTTGTTGCATCTACTACTCCCCTTGCTCAATTCACTTTAGTCATATTCTCTTCATAGATATTCTTCAACTCACTAGTCAACACTCCTACACTCCTATCTCATGGCTTTGCACTTGCTGTCTGTCTTCTTTGCCTGGATGCTTCTCTCCTCAACAGCTCATTCCTTTCAGTTCTTAGGACAGCAGGCTATCTAATCCTCTTTTCTAAAGCTGCAACCCCATCATAGCCCCATACAATCCTGATTTGATTTATTCCTTAGCATTGTATCCTGCATTTTACTTACGTTGCTTCCTCATTTGCTAGAAAGTAAGCACAGGTGACTCTCATTCTTTGCCATACCTGACACTGCTATACAGTGATTCTATCGGTGTTGTCCCCTTCTCCCCAATCACAGGTAGAGGCTTTGCTCCATCTGGCCCATCAGAACCGTGCGGTAGCTTGCACAGCTCACAATGAGAGATCATCACGCAGCCATAGTGTGTTCCAGCTGCAGATCACTGGGGAGCACACTAGCCGCGGTCTGCAATGTGTGGCCCCCCTCAACCTGGTAGACCTAGCTGGGAGTGAGCGGCTGGACCCCAGCTTAGCCCTCGGTACTGAGGATCGGGAACGACTTCGGGAAACTCAAGCCATTAACAGCAGCCTGTCTACTCTGGGGCTGGTCATCATGGCCCTAAGCAACAAGGTGGAAATGTAGGGGCTGGGGCAAGCAGGACCTAGGGGTGGGTTAGGTCTAAACTTTTCTCAGTTTCAACCACCTGTTCCTCCTCAACCCTCTAGGAATCCCATGTGCCCTACAGGAACAGCAAGCTCACCTACCTGCTACAGAATTCCCTGGGAGGCAGTGCTAAGATGTAAGTGAAAGGAACAGATAAATGGAATAGGGTAGGAACTGAGATGGGACAGATGTTCAGGTTTGGGAAAGGGGAAGCATGGAGACATCGTCCAGGCTGTGCCTCAGCCACTAATTCTGGAGTTTGGCTCCATTTTGTTTTTCCACAGGCTTATGTTTGTGAACATTTCACCCCTAGAAGAAAACATCTCTGAGTCACTCAACTCCCTACGTTTTGCCTCCAAGGTGCGATTACCACCCAGGCTTCTCCATTTCTATACCTTCTGTCCTGGAAGAGAAGGGACTGAGGTTGTGGGTGGGCAGTATGTTCATTCAGAAATTAACCTTTTTTCCAACCAGATAGCTAGGGTAATACCTGAATCCATTTTTAAATAATGGCTTTTATCTTTCCCTCCCATATATACATAAACCTTTTGTTCTGATTAATGGTACAGTTCCATTAACACACAGAGTTGATCTGTACTATTAGTACTCCACTGTGTGGATGCACCAAAATTTATCCACTAGTTCCCTCTGCTGGACACTTCGCTTTATTCGGTTCTTTTCACTATTAGACTTTGTCACTGAGTTGATTTGGATTCACAGAGATGTTCCATCAGGTTTCTGTAAAGAAATCTTTTTTTTTTTAAATTTTTATTTTATTATTTTCTCTGTGTGTGTACCTCAAATTGGATCTGACTGGTACAGGAGGAGATTGCCCCTCCTTCTCCGGCAGAGCATCTGGTGGATTCGAACCACGTATCTCTGGGATTGCAGTGCAGCTTCTTGCCATTAGGCCACCAGAGCTCCCCTAGGTTTCTGTGAATAAATCTTTTTTTTTTTAAGTTTTTTGTGTAAATAAATCTTAATGGGAGGAGACTGTTCATCTTTCTCCCTAGGAGCTGCTGGTGGATTTGAACCTCGAAGATATTTTTAATCATTTGGTTCGCAGCACATGATACAGACTACTGCCCTTAGAGCTCAGAGCACCTTTCTATTACACACACTGTTTAATCGTGTGTGTGTGTGTGTGTGTGTGTGTGTGTGTGTACACATCTATAGTTTGTGGGTTTTTTTTTAGTTATGGCGAGATTCCTAGAGGTGAGATTACAGGATCAAACGAAACATTAATTTTGTAGACCATTACAAACTCCAATGTGAATTTAGGTTCCAAACCTCATGACGATCTTTTGGTGGCTTTGAGTTCTAAAGGAGACTTCTGCTTCCTCCACCAATGAAGTGTCACTAGTGGGCTCTGAAGAACTAAGCAGAATTGGAACCTAGAGCTCCTATTTCAGAATTCTCTGAGGGCTGTTCCTAGAACTGAAGGAGTATGAAGGGATCTCAGGAAAAATGCATTTTTTGGTTACTCTGTAAACGTTTTTTATAACTATCTGTCCACAGGTGAACCAATGTGTTATTGGTACTGCCCAGGCCAACAGGAAATGAAGATAGACCCAGATCCTATGGTGTTCTGTCCATGTGTGTTTGGGGAATGGGGTTGCTGAGGGACTGCCCCCCCCCAGGAGTGGGGGTGTGAAGAACTCTGTACCTAGGTCTATGAAATATTTTTTTTCTTAAATAAAGGTATTAGCAAAGGAGGAAGTTGCTTTTCATGTTTAAAGATGTGGATCTTGCACTCTGCCAAGTATTGTGGGATGAGGGCTGCAGTTCTTCTCTTGGGTCTGAGGGGGCCTCCAGTTTTTGTGGTTCTGGAACCTGTGTGACCCATTTCCCTCTCGCCCAGTGTTCCTTTGCTACACACATGACAGATGCCTACGATATCTGACCCTCCAGCGGGCTGTAAATCACACGGGAGAAGACTGCCCACTTTCCCTCACAATCCACAAACTCACAGAATCTGGTTTCTTCCTGACTGGTCAGCAGCCATCCCAGCATCGGACAGGAAGTGCGACTGGGAATCAAGGGGCGGGGACTAGCGTGCAGTCGGCAAATTACTGGCTTTTCCCGCCCTTTTCTGTACCTTCCTGTTCAAATTGCCCAGATTCTGCCCTGTCGCCGCTCATTGGCCAGGTCTCGGTGACGTCATTAGTATCTTCTTGTCCTTGTCTTAGCCCTCGAAGCCCCGTGGGGGACGCACAAGGGGGAGCGGGAGCGCGCGGCCGCCGAATTCCTCGCGCCAACAGCTAACGGCCGACGCCCCGTAAAGGAGGGGCTGGGTTTTTCCAGGTGCCGCGCATGGGAGGGGCCACGCGTGCGCAGAAGCGAGCACAGGGAGGGGGACCAATTTGCCACAGAGGGGGCGGGGCCGGGGCAACGGCTGAAGGGAGGAGGGCGTGGCGGGGCAAGGGGAAGGGTGGATGGGGCGGGGCCAAGAGCTGGGGCCGCGGGAAGGGGGTGGTCGGGGAGGGACTTTGAGTGACCATGTCGAGCGTAGGGGGGGCAGTTAACGGATGTGGCATGGGGCGAGGGACTAGACCCGAGGCAGATTGCGGGGAGTTTCGGGGGGATTCCCTTGTGCCCCGAGGGCAGGTCTCCCGTTGGAGGAAGGGGCTGTGGGGATTCCCTCTCCCGAATCCAGCTGTCCGCAAGCTCCAGTCGCGCACAAGCCTTCCTCCGCTCAGCGCCCTCCAGGCTTGCTGGAGGTGAGGGAGGTGGGGTGAGGTGGTGCCCGCCCCCCCGGCTCCTCCCCCCTCTCCCTTCACACTACCCTCCCTCTAGTCGGTCCGTCCCTCCCCTCCCTCTCCCTCCCTCTGCCGCCTCCTCCTGCCGCTGCCGCTGCTTTGGCTGCTGCGTCATACGCCCCAGAGCTGCCGGGACGGAGGGGCTGGGCCTGGAGACCCCCTGGCCTTTGCCTGCACGACCCCCGACGCCGGGACGTGCCCTCCCCGTGTGGGGGGCTGGCCTAGATCTCCCACGGCTGCTCCTGCTCGGCTCCCGGCGGCCCCAGCTGTCACTGGTAAGAAAACGACAGGAGGCGCCCGGGGTGTGGGGGGGGTGGCAGAGAGCCGGGGGTCGGCGCTCAGGGCGCTGGCGGGAGAGCCCATGCCGCGTGGGTACCGGATTGGTCAGGCCGACTCAAGTCCCCTCTCCGACTCACCACAGTGGGGAATAGAGACCGGGAGGGACACGCCCCCCTCCTGGGCACTTAGGGAAGTTTACCTAACCCCAGGGCAGGGAAGCCCAAATTTAAGGGTGACCTGACATAACCCAGCACTAGAGTGATTGTTCTGAATGAGACTGGAAGACCTGAGAAGGCAGCTGTTTCTGAGAGACTCTGGAAAACATCTCCAAGAAAGCTCCCCAAACATCTCAGAACAACCAGGCACTCCAGTTACGCCTCTCAACAGCTTGGGAAGGTGACAGTAGAAACTCAGTAACCTTTGCTTCTGCAGCCATCATTCTTCCTAATATCTCAAGGCCAAAATGTAATATGCCTGGAGAGCTCTGGAAGCTGGGAAGTAGAAAATTATAGTATGTTGATGAATGAGACATGTTAGGGAGAGGAGGGCTAGGCATCATACTTCAAGGAGCTCAAGATAAGCTGAGGCAGATGCCCTATTTGATTTAAAGGTTTAGAGATTTGAGGTGCAAATGCTTGAATCCACAGTAGAAAAAAATAGGCAGAGAAAATGGGGAGAGCTTCTCAGGTTTCAGAACCGTCTCCTATCCTTTTTCTGGCTAGGCCACCCCAGGATGCAATGGCGCAGCCCCCCCGGCTGAGCCGCTCAGGTGCCACCTCGCTTTGGGATCCAGCTTCCCCCACTCCCACCTCAGGTCCCAGACCCCGACTTTGGGAAGGTCAAGATGTACTGGCCAGATGGACTGATGGACTGCTATACCTGGGAACCATCAAAAAGGTTAGGGTTTTGATCTCTGATCTGTTATTTCCCCCCCCCCCCTTTCCCTTATATAACTCTAGCTTTCATTTCATCCTCTGTGCTACCCATTCCAGGTGGACAGTACTCGGGAAGTGTGTCTTGTTCAGTTTGAGGATGACTCCCAGTTTCTGGTTCTATGGAAAGACATTAGCCCTGGTAAGACTCTAGAGGCCTCAGAGTGTGTTCATCCCATGGAAAACAGAAATATGGTTTGAGGGAAAAAGGATGCTAAAAGCCAGTGCCCTGATACCTGTGCTCTCTTAGCCGCCCTCCCTGGAGAGGAACTCTTATGCTGTGTATGTCGCTCTGAGACTGTTGTCCCTGGGAACAAGTTGGTCAGTTGTGAGAAGTGTCGCCACGGTAAGAAGATTGGTCCAATTTGCCTTGAGCCTTCCAGGCTGTCTTTGGCCCTTACCTTATGCGTACAGCTTTATGTCACCTATATCTAGTCTGAGTCTCCAGGTCACCCTCTCCTCAACTGTATTCTTCTCTACCCTATAAAGAGGCAGCTAGGAAACAGAATAGCATGAGCTTTACAGGTAGAAGGTGGTTCAACCACATACCTTGAATAAGTCCTTTAAATTTAAAATAAAGATAATAACTGCACTGCTCCTCAAGGCAGGACCATGGTCAAAGATTTGAAATGGATGAAACGGTTCTAAGTGCTAATATACAGGTTTGTAATACCATACTTATTACATGGCCCAACTCATAGTTGACCATGGCCCAACTCATAGTTGACCCTCCTGTGAGTTTTCAGATGCTATGAATTGTGGTGGATTCCAACTAACTTTGAGTTAACGGCTCCCTATCCTAGGCTATGGGAAACTTCCCTTGGAAATGTCTTAAGTAGCTTTATCAATATTATTGTTATTTAGCTTATCACCAAGACTGTCATGTTCCAAGGGCCCCAGCCCCTGGAGAAGGAGAGGGCACATCACCCTGGGTCTGCCGCCAGTGTGTATTTGCCATTGCCACCAAGGTAAAGATAACCTCCCTGTTACCCTTACTGGTCCTTACTGTGGGAGCTCTCTGAAGTCTCTCCTCTTGCCTATATAAGACCTCATGCTTGTTCTTTCTCTGCAGAGAGGGGGTGCCCTGAAGAAGGGGCCCTATGCTCGGGCCATGCTAGGCATGAAGCTTTCTCTGCCATATGGGCTAAAGGGGCTGGACTGGGATGCTGGACATCTGAGCAACCGACAGCAGAGCTATTGTTACTGTGGAGGCCCTGGGGAGTGAGTAATGAGGGGGGTAGGGAGCTAAGGGAAAAGTGTCTTAGGAAAGGACATCCTACGGAATATAAAACAATGAGGGAGGAGAGTCCTGAGGGTAATGGAGGAATGTGACAAGCAGGTTATGGGCCAATTATTGGGGGAGAGGAGTATCTGGAGGATACTTGTCTTTTATTCCCCTCAGGTGGAACCTGAAAATGTTGCAATGTCAGAGCTGCCTGCAGTGGTTTCATGAGGCCTGTACCCAGTGTTTGAGCAAGCCACTCCTGTATGGTGACAGGTGAGATAGAAAACTGTCCAGTAGCTGAGAGAACCCACCTTGCTGTGCTCCACCTTCCTAGCTTCTCCATGCCTTTCTCTCTTCTAGTCACTTCCCAATTTTGCCCTTGCTTTTAAGCCCTCTGTAGAGCATTGTTTTCCAGAATAAAGTATATTCTGTCTCTCTTGCTCACATCCAGGTTTTATGAGTTTGAATGCTGTGTGTGTCGGGGGGGCCCTGAGAAAGTCCGGAGGCTACAGCTTCGCTGGTGAGCTGGGTTGGACTTGGCCCCAGTGTAACTCCTCTCAGCCTCCAGTGTTTGATCCTATATGCCCCAAACTTTTACCAACAGAACCCCTCTGACTTTAATGCTTCTGTGACCTTTACAAACTTGTGTTACTCCAGGGTGGATGTGGCTCATCTTGTCCTCTACCATCTCAGCGTTTGCTGTAAGAAGAAGTACTTTGATTTTGACCGTGAAATCCTTCCCTTTACTTCTGAGAACTGGGACAGTTTGCTTCTGGGGGAGGTAAGGGGTCATGAAGCTTTGGAACTTGAAGTGGGAAAAAGAGATAAAGAGGAAAAGGCCAGGGAGGTCTCATTATTTTCCTTCCCTGTCACCAGCTCTCAGACACCCCCAAGGGAGAACGATCTTCCAAGCTCCTCTCTGCTCTCAATAGCCACAAGGACCGGTAAGTTGGAGGGAAGAGACAAGATTCAGAAAAAGATATTATAGAAGCCTAGGGAACTCTAGTGGCTTAGTGGTAAGGAGTAGCACTACCACCCTGAAGGCATATGGTTTGAATCCACTAGCTACTAAAGGCAATATCCCAGGGGATAGCTGCCTCTGAAAACCCCTCTGGAGAGTTAGCTTTGGATCATTTCTGAAGGTACATAACAACATGGAAGTCTGGGAGGTGAGGGGTTGCAGTTTCCCTGGCAATCATCTCTAAAAAGGATTTTTACTGTTAGAAGTCCCTTTTCACGTAGCACTTAACCTGTATCATATTCTCCCTTTTTCCAGTTTCATTTCAGGGAGGGAGATTAAGAAGAGGAAATGCTTGTTTGGTCTCCATGCTCGGACCCCTCCTCCTGTGGAGCCCACTGGAGATGGAGCTCCCACCAGGTCACTGGTCCAGGGGAAATGGGGAAAATCCTTGGGGGATAAGTTTGGGGGTGTATGTAGAAAAGGGGGGACTTTGGGGTGCCCGGGAGGGGGCTGGGGGGATAAGGAGGCCTCTTACAGCTTCCCTTCAGGGCAGGGCCCTGGGGGAGGGGTCTCACGTCCCCTGGGGAAGCGCCGGAGGATGGAGCCAGAGTCCCTGAGGCAGAGGCAGAAAGGGAAAGTGGAGGAGCTGGGACCACCCTTGGCAGTACCCCAGGAGCAGAGGGAGCAGGCTCATCTGCAGAAACCACTGCAGGTACAGAGGTGGGAAACCCCATGGCGTGAGTGGTTGGGTGTAGAAAGAAATAAAGATTATCTCAGATCTTTGCCTTTTCTTCTAGGCCTCAGTGTCTCCACCTCCCTCCAGCCCTAACCAGAGTTACCAGGGCAGCAGCGGCTACAACTTCCGGCCCACAGATGCCCGCTGCCTGCCCAGGTAAATCTACCCCCAGCCAGATGTGCCTTTTTGGAGTTGCTTCATCAATTGTTTACATCCGCTGGACTGTTTTATATTTTCCCAACTTTTTTTCCCTCTAACCCTTGAATCTACTTCCTATCCCAGACTACTTTCTAGTACCAGTATCTAGTGCTAAGTACGCTAGAGATAGTGGTACCTTGGAAAGCTGCCTTTCCTAGGGAGAGAGGGCCAGCCCTCTGTTCCCCTACTTCAGGTCCTGATTTTCACCTTCCCAACCCCAGCAGCCCCATCCGGATGTTTGCTTCCTTCCATCCTTCTGCCAGCACCGCAGGGACCTCTGGGGATGGAGAACCCCCAGAAAGGTGAGACTATACCCTTTTTACCTGTGATACTCCACTGTGCTGCCACGTTCTACAAACTATTTGTTCCTCTGATCCACACTTACAGACTCCATTTTTAGTCAGCTTTTGTCTGCATCTATCTGGGTTCAAAATTGCTTTCTCTCCCCAGGTCACCCCTGGAACTTCACATTGGTTTCCCCACAGACACCCCTAAAAGTGCCCCCAACTCGATGACTGCCTCATCCTCCTCAGTCCCAGCCCCCTCTCCAGGTCTTCCTAGACGCTCAGCACCCCAGTCTCCCCTTTGCCGTAGTTTGTCTTCTGGGATTGGGGGAGGAACCCGAGGTGGGGCTGGCAGTGGCTACTTGTCCCGAGGGGACCCTGTCCGGGTCCTTGCTAGGAGAGTACGGCCTGATGGCTCTGTGCAGTACCTGGTTGAATGGGGAGGAGGGGGCATCTTCTGAAGAGCCTGCCTCTGCCCACCTCCCTATTCACACATAACAGCACTTTCATACCCTGACCTCACCTGCAGCTGGGATGTACCTGGGGAAGTAGGGGAGTTAGCTCTCCCTACTACCCAGGCTGGAATCTAGGTGAAGGGTGTAGGGAATAATCTTCTCTACCTCCTTTATGATTCCTGGACCCTGCCCCCATTTTTTCCATTTCTTTTGATGTTATTTTGTTAACAGCTTTTTAAATATTTTTAAAAATTATTTAACCCCTTGGGGCAGAGACTGAAGAGGGAGGATGGTAAGGGTTCCCGAACTCTGTATGACTGAAATAAAGAGAAATAAACAAATTTTAGTAGCCCTACGTCATTTTGAAAGAGAAAACATAGGAACTTAAAAGCATTTCTGGTTTTGCCCAACAGATGTGAATATATGACAAGAAAAAAGGCAAAAGACAGAAAACCAAAGCTGGGTTTATTGAAAACCATCATGACCTAGCTGTTAGAGGGCACCAATATATATGTTGGGATCAGGGCAGGGGTAATGCTGCTCATGACGGCGGCACTGTGCTAGAGTCAGAAACAAACTCTGTGGCCTGGCGCACCCAACGCAGATATGGGGAATTCCCCTGCTCCACAGGCAATGCAATCACTTCAGCAACTTCGTAAGGGTGCACAGAACTAGGAAAAAACCAAAAAGGATTTTGGGAGGTAAAAATCACTCAAAGAGTAAACCCAGAGGACCAGCCCCCTTAGACAGAAACCCAACAAGTTCTTACCGAACAAAATCTGTCAAAGCTGGAACCAAGGAGCTTTGGGTTTTAATCATCTAAGGGGCAAGGATAAATACAGTTGAGTCAGAGTGCAGTAGGTTTTAGGATCTAAGATGAAGGACAGGGATCATAGTGTTATCAGAATAAGAGAGGTTTTGTGGGGGGAAAGTTTCTCACCATAAGCACCTCATTGTCTTCCTCAATCTTGCCTTTCCACTCATAGCTGAAAAGGTAGAGTGTGTATTGTGGGGAACATAGATTCTTCTTCGATAAAAAGCTTCCAGTTAGCCCTCATAGTTAAATTCCCCCCCGCCCCGAAACTCACATGGATGTAATCTGAGGGATGAGATTGACACACGCAGCTAGGCGCTTATCCACTACAGCCCTGAAGGTGAAGAGATGTATCCCCAGTCAGAACGCCCATTGACTAGTTATCCTTCCCTACTCTAGTGAGGTCAGGTCCCCACCTGGCGATTTCCTTGGCGACCTTCTCGTTGGGGCAGGTGACAAAGGCTGCTGAGACCGAGCCAGGGACGTAGCTGGAGCCTGAAGCCGGCGAGGGCTGGGACGGGGGACTGCCAGAAGCCATTGAGAGCAGGGCTCGGGGTAGTAATAGAAGGCGAGAAGACACAGGCAGCAGCGCCGGCATCCAAAGAGACAGAAGCAGAGCGGCCTGAGAGCAGGGAGCGAATTCAGACTCTGGTCAAATACTTAAGGAAACAGGACAAAGGGAATCCTTCACTTGAACAATCTACACTCCTTCACGTGAAGGAGTACGTCCGGGAAACTGGCAGAAACGATATTTTCACGTCCTCCTCTGCTGTCAAGTTCGAGGGTCTTGGGTGCAGCTAATGGGAGGACCGGAAGGGACGGGGCCGGTCACTCACCACTCCGCCGAGTAGGATCGCTGGAGCCCGCCCCCTACTCATGCAGCCTCTGATGGTGAGAGAACGATTAAATATAAAAGGCCACACGTTACAATGAGAACGGAACCCAAACCCTGTAAGAACGGATGCTTCTTACCTGGGCGGTAGCCACGTGACATACACACACGCACACACACAAAAAAACAGTGCACACCACGTGACAGTACAAGGTAGCTCGACAGCCAATCTCAGCAGAAGCACGGTCCTGCTTGTCCCGCCTCCTGGAGTGGGAGGAGCGAAGAGGAATTCCACCAATAGTTAGCCGGGCCTGCAGACGTGCACGGAAATGGCACGCCCATTTCCGCATAAACCGGAAACGGCCTGTTGCTGGCCGAGGAGATCTGCTGCGGTGTTCTGTCACGTGGGGGTGGGGGTGAGCTGTTCCTCTCTGTGTCAATGGTGGCTCTGTGAGTGTCGCGAAGTGGCCAATCACAGCCCAGGCTTGCAAGCTCTTTGAAGAGAACTGATGCTAGGAAAGGGTGGGCTTAGAGACCCTGCACATCCTATGCGTCAGGTTATGGTGTAGGGAGTTAAGCCTCCACCCCAGAAAGGTTTACATTTAACTATATCTACACTCGTTCCTGAACCCTTAAAAAGTAGGGGGAGACTGAAAAGATGGACCCTCTCAGGATGAAGAGAGCGCACCCATTATGCCTAAACCCCAAAACGGTTTCCCGTTAACAGGCCTTATACCTGTTTCTGAAGCCTTAAAAAGTCGGAGGGGTCTGAAGAGATTGAACCACTAGGATGAAGAAAGCGCTCCCTGTGCTTTTGGTTGGGACTGAGATGTACCTGGGTTTGGGAAAGAAGAGCGAAGATAGGGAGAGGCCAGCCGGCCCTGGGTAGGAGGGAGTGATTAGGAGGGGCATTGTAAAACCTGACTGGGTAAGGGATGGCTATAAGGATACAGCGAAACCTTGTAAATAAGACAGTAAGGAAAGTTAACACTTTAACTATCCAACTTCCAGACCTGGAGACTAGTGGAGAAATGGGCATCAGAGAGTACTGATGGTCCTTTGGTCCCTATGTCCTTTGATCTCTAGGACAGGTCTACTCAGCTTTGGGTCTCCTTCCCTTAATTTAATTACCCTAGAAGCCAGTATCTGCCCTACATTCCCTCCCTGGGCCTGAAGCATGTCCTGTGACCCAAAAATGGAGAGAGGGGCTAATAAGAAAGGTGGAAGGAAGCAGTAGGGGAAAATGTTCTTGTCACATCCTCTTCCCCAGTGCTTCTCCCATCATGGTTTGGGGTCTTTGGCTTATGTGGCTGGGAGTTTTCCAGAAGTATGTCAAAGTTCTCTTACCAAACTCTGGGATTGTAGTCTCCTTGAGATCTGTTTTTCAGTTTGGAGTCTCAGATCTCTAAGTCTTTGGGGGCTAGGGTCTTACTCAGGGTTGTTTATCTTGTGTTTGGAAGTTTCAACTTTTCTGCATCTTCAGTCAGTCTCTGAGGACTTTCAAATTCTTTGGGGGGGGGGAATTTCTCCTGAGTTTTCCATTTAAGAGCTGAGTTTTTCCTTTCCTCCCTGAGCCTGGGATGTCTGTCTTGATTTTAATCAGTCTGAGTTTGCAGTTTCTTGTTTCTGTGATATAAATTTGGGGTGTTTGGGCCCTCTTCAGATCTGAATTATCTAAAAATTGAATTATGGGTCTGGATTATTTCTGAAACTAAAGTATGAGACACTTTCCTTTGAGTTTTGGTCTCAGGATTTATCCTTGAAATCACGACCTCGGAGTCTGGAATCTGGTTCCAGAAAAGGTGAATCTTTTTGAGATTGGACATTTAGGGTTTTGTTTTTTTTTTTAAAAAAAAAATATTTATTTTTTAACTCCTTTCTTGGGGGAAGGGAGCTTTTCTTAAACAAGGGTTCTCTTTTCTTCTGGATTATGGGTTTATCTATGTCTTAGATTAACCCTCTTCCTCTCCGCCCCTTGAAGTGAGGCTAAAGTCTTAGATCCCGCCCCTCTTAATGCGAAGTATCTATCTTTGTGGGTCTAGGGTCTCTCTGACGCAGGGTTTGAGGGTCAGCATCTTCAGCACTACTCTCCATCTTTGAAATTATTTCAAGTCTGGGGTCTCTCTCTTCAGGGCTCTCAGAGTAGGGGTGGGGGCTGCAGAGTCTCTCCCTCCTCCTCCTCCTCCTCCTGCTCTCTCCTCTCTCGCTCACTCCCCCGCCCCCTTCTCTCTCTCTCTCCCGGCTGCCGCTGCTGCCGTTGGCTCCTATTCTCCTCCTCCTCCTCCTCCTCCTCTCTCCTCCTCTCTGCTCCTCTCTGCTCCTCTCTCCTCCTCTCTCCTCCTCCTCCTCCACCACCTCCTCCTCCTTCTCCCCCTCTCTCTCCCCCTCTTCTCTCTTCTCTTTCTCTCCGTCCCCCCGCCCCCTCCCCCCCAGGCCTGATGAGCAGGTCTCGCGCCTCCATCCATCGGGGGAGCATCCCCGCGATGTCCTATGCCCCCTTCAGAGGTACGTGTTGGGGGGAGGGGGAGGGCCAGATGGGGGGGCAATAGGGGGAGGGGCAGGGGGCGGGGGGTAGAGCTGGGGCTAGGGAGGGGAGCGGCTGAAATGGAGGGAGAAGGAAGGACTCGGAAGGCAGGGGTGGGAGCAATGGGAAAAGAGGGCTTGGAGGCCTGGGCAGTAGGGGTAGGTAGGGGACAGAAGGGCCAGGAAACAGACCTTGAAGCAGGGCTCTGGGGAAAATTACGAAGGGAGAAGAGCCAGAAAAGAATGAGAAGGTAAAAAGGTAGGGCTTAGGGAATGCCTGCAGAAATAGTTTGGAGGTGGGAATTGAGAATGAGGAAAATAACAAGAAAATAGAGGGGTAGCGTCTTAGGAGAGGATAGGAGGAGAAAATGAAAACAGGGGTGAAAAGAAAGGCCAAGAAGATGGGGGGAGTATGGTGGGAGCTCAGAAAATGGTAGAGTAGAAAAAGAGGAGGATGGAGGGAGAAAAGAAGGGTCCAGATGGAGAGAGAGGGAGGCTGGGGGGGGGTTTAGATGGAGGGTCCAGATGGAGGGAAATGATGAGAGGGAATGAGTTGGGGGAGGGGACACAAGGCAGGGGGTGGGCCAAATTATGTTTGTGTTTGTTGGCGGGGAGATACTAGTAAAACTGAGTAATGGGATTAGAGGCATATTAGGATGCTGCCCCAGACTCTGATCTTTAAGGCCTTTGACCAATGAGATATAATCCCTGGTATCTTATCTGCTCCCTTCACCACTTTTATCTCTCACCCCCCACCCCCCATCCTTCTTTCCATTCCCCCTCCCTTCTCTAGTGTCCATCACCCATGTCTTTTCCCCCTCCCCCTTTTGGTGTCCGTTCCTTATATGAGTCCCCTTTCTGTTCTTCTCTTGTAAATGTTCCCTCTTTGGTGTCCATTCTTTCTCTCCCGCCCTTATATCTGGTAGTTTCCTTCTATCTATACCACTTTTCCACTCCTCCTTCTTGAACCATTTCCCCTAACTCCCCCCAAATTGAGTCCACCTCACTTTCACCCTAGGAACTTCTCAACATCTATTTTAGTCTTAGATCCTTTCCTGTTACTTGACTCCCAACCCATCCTCTTTTCCCTACCCCACTCTCCATCTTGTCACAAGTTTGTGACCATCCACTTTTTTTTTTATAATGCCCTAGCTTTTAGTGCCCATTCTTATTATCTTGTTGGCAATTTGGGGTGCAAAAATCCTGCAGTTGGGAGATCCCCATCTGAGCACCAGTGCTCTTCTCAGCCATATTCTGCTGCATTTTGCATCTGCCTCTCAGCATCATCCTTCTCCTAATCTAGACAATCTGTATGTGTGTTCATTTCTAGTGTTACTTATAAGCTAAGCTTTAAGTGATCTTTTCTGCTCCAAGAGTGAAGGTGCATCCTGCAGTCTAACCTGTCCCTCCATAACAGCCTGAACAAGCCCCTCCCATAATGGTTATGAATATCAACAGATTTCTTCCCTAGGTGCGCAAGTACCAAAGTTCTGCGGGTGGGCATGTTGCTTGTAGTTTCTATGTTGTCAGAATCTTGGTATCTGTGATCTCTGTCTAGAGGATATTGGTTGGAGTCACTGAGATGACATTAGGATAATAAGTTTTGAAGTGTTAGCATTTCTAGATAATGGAACATCTATATTTTAGGAATTCAAGTCTGACTAATCTGTAGGTTGGGTAAACTGAGGGACATGTTTTAGACAGAAAGGATCTGAGTTTTTAAAAATCTCAGAGCTGTTCTATTAGAATGAATCCCAAAGATCCATTCATTTCTTACAGTATCCATTGCTAATTTTCTCATAAGAGTTTTCTTTTTCTTCTTCTAAACCCTCTCTCAACTCAGCTACTTTAAATCTTGTTTCTCTTGCTCTTCTCCTGTAGTCTATTTTCTCTCATGCTTATGTGACTGATCTGATTTCTTTTACTTCAATTGGGCTTGTGCCCTGAATCCTTATGATGATGTTCAGTGTTGCAGTTTAAAGGAGAAGTAGTTTGTAGAGGGGGATTATGGCAAGAAGAACAGCAGAGCTTGGAAGGGAACTCTGGGGGCACCTCTGAACAAGGGCAACATTGGTTCCCTATTCTTCTAGAGTGTCCTCTGTGTCACTAGGCCTGTATAGTTAATCCTTTTGTGGGCTCTTTTCTTCTCCAACTCTTCCTTGTGCCCTAAGAGGTTGCTCATCACTGATTGCTTCCATAGGTAGGGGTGGTGGTGGTGGTCGGGGCAGTGTTAAATCTTCGACTCTGGACATGAGAACCAATGGGTTTCTAACCAAACAAGAGCATCTTTCTCATTGCCTCATCTCATCCATTCCCCTACTTATCCCCAAACTGATTTGACCCTTTTCCCTTTCACCTTAAGGACCAGAACTTCTCCAAAAGATGAGCAGAGTTGGGCAAGGGGAGTAGGATGAGGAGGCTATCAGATGTACTGTTTCTAACCAGATAAGCTTTCTCAGATTCTCTGTTTTTCAGGTATTCTAGCTCTCTGAATCTCACTATCCAAATATTCTAAAAGCTTCT